GAGGGCGGCTGCCAGCCCCCGGCTTCCTGCTTCTCCTCCTCCTCCTCCTCCTCCTCCTCCTCCTCCTCTCCCTCTTCCCCCGCCTCATCCCTCCCCGCTCCCTGCTCCCGTCGTCGTCCCCTCCCTCCTCGCTCCATTCATGACTGCCCCCTTCAGCCCCAGGCGTGTCGGCCTGGATCCTCCCGCGTCCATCCTCGTCCATCCTCGTCCCTTCTCTGTCCTCGTGCTGCTTGGTCCATCTTTGTCGTCCCCCCTCCCTCCGTTCGTGCCTCCCCCCTCCACCCTCTCGCTTCCCCGTCCGAGTCTCCCTCCTTTTATTCTCTTCGCCATACGGTCGGAAGAAGTACGCCGCAGTCTCCGCGTCCTTTCTCCTTCGTCCCTGCTCCTGCGCTCCTGGAGGGGAGGGGAGGGCGGGTTGGCGTCCAGCAGGGCGGCTTCAGAGTCCACAGTGCTTGAGTGGTCGGCCTTGGTCTGCTGGCCGCCCTCCGGCAACCTATTTTGACAGATGCCAGCTCGCCCCTTAGCATGGAGAGCGGGTCCTGCAATACAGGGGTACTGGAAGGTTTTTCCAAGTTTCCGGGTCCCTGGATCCCTCCTACGAGCCCCAGGACTGTCAAGCAGTTTCTACCATGAAGACGAGTTGGTCTTCAGGAGAGCCTCGGGGCCCAGGATTCGCTTTCTTCAGGATTTGTTCTCGACGAATTCCGCTTCTCGGGTGCGGATCGCGGCGGTTTCCGGCAGGGCCTGTAGGTTTGTCGTAGCCATGGCACGGCCAGCAAGATCTCCCCGCAGGGCGGTTGGCGCCCCATCCGAGTGCATGGGCAGGAGAGGTTTTGACCGGCCCGATTTCGGGAAACAGAGGGGAGCGTGTGCTCCTCCGTATCTGGCCGGAGCAGGGCCGAATGGGAAGGGTTTCTCCGAAGGGCTCAGGCGACCCGTCCTTCTCCTCCTCCTCCTCCTCCTCCTCCTCCTCTCCTCTCTCCTCCTCCTCTCTCCTCCTCCTCCTCCTTCTGCGCCTCCTTCCTCCTCCTCCTCCTCCTCCTCCTCGGCGGTTCGCCTACGGCCCCGGGGGAAACCGTGCACTCGATGTATTGCCTCCTGTCGTACTGCGGCTCACACGGCTTAAGTGGGGCACGTGGAGAGGCGGATGCCCCAGCCATGGCCACCTGAAGCCGCCTGATGCGCTCGGTGCGCGCTGCTCCTGAAAGGTCTGCTCGCGTGCCTCTCGAGATGTAACCTTGAGTCGGGCGTGTTCCTCTACAGGAGGAAGAGTCAAAACAAGTCAAAACATAGTTTGAGGACGATGTTTTGACTGTTTAGGGGTATTATTTGAGTATTGTTTGGCTATTTTTCTTTCTCGTCCAAAAACCGCCTGAAGGGGGACATGCCCGACCTAAACGTAACCCCGGGCTCTCTGGGTGGGGCAGCTCCACATCTACACCAGAACGACACTTCGCCAGAGTGACCTTTGGTGGTGCGCGGCTTTTCGGGGAGGAGGAGGAGGAGGAGGAGGAGGAGGAGGAGGAGGAGGAGGAGGAGGAGGAGGAGGAGGAGGAGGAGGAGGAGGAGGAGGAGGAGAGCCACGGGCTGGGGAGAGCGGGGCCAGCCGTCGTCGTCGTCGGCCCGCCCCTTGTCCCTCGTGGCCGCGCGCCGCGGCGGCTGCGATCGGCAGCCGCAGCAGTCGCGCGCCCGCGGGCGCCGCCGAGCTGCCGAGGCGGAGTCGAGGGCCCCAAGGCGCCCCCAGCGGCCCCCCTCGGCCCCGCCACCTGCGAGGAGGCGGCGAGCGCGGACGCCTGCCCCCCCGCCAGGCCGCGCTGGAGGCGGCGCCACGCTGCGCACCGTCGGCGAGCCCGCCTGGCACGGCCGCGCCAGGCAGCGGCGCGCAGAGGCCAGGGTGCTGCCGAGCCTCCGCTCGGAGGCACAGGTGCTGGACCAGCACCACTCCGCCCAGCAGCACCAGCGTCACCAGCAGCAGCCACAGCGCGCAGACGACAAAATGACGCACAGGTGCTCCGATGGTGCTCCAGGGCGTCATGATGATTGGACGGAGGAGAGCTGGCATACTAATGCGCCGTGGAGATCCTTGTGCCGAGAGACCTCACGGGCATCATCTCGCAAGAGAGGCCCCCGCCCGCAGCAACACCAGCAACCGCAGCAGCAACGCCAGCAGCAGCAGCCACGGCAACCCCAGCATCAGCAGCAGCAGACGGCGCAGCAGCAGCAGGGACAGAGATGGAACGGCAAGAGGACACATACCCTTGCAGCACGCAGGCAGCGCGGCGAGGGTGCCAGCTGCCCGTTCCTTGCGAGCCTCGAGAAAGTCATCGAGGGCATCCCCATCGCGAGAGCGGCGGATGCGGCGACGCATGGTGCATTTCAGGCCCCTCTGCACGGCCAGCACCTCGAGCTGCAGCGCGACGAGGTGAAGCAGCGGATGGAGTCTCTCGTTTTGTGCGTGCTTGCCGCCAGGGGTGCAGGGGAGAACCCAGAAGAGATCGAGGAATATATGGGGTCATCAGGTTCGTCCAACAGTCACTGCAGCCTGCCTACAGACGGACCAAGCACATCCACGAGTAGCCCGAGTTCTTGGATCGGCAGATATATAAAGCCCAGAATGAGCGTGACCGCTGGCAGAAGAGCCTCGCAGAACTCACTGACAAGCGCAAGAACATACTGGACGTCCGCGATGAGCTCGGGGTTTCGGACGAAGATGCAGCGGGCGCCGAGGACGAAGACGACGACGCCATCGGTTACCGCGAGGCTAGCAGGGTGCGCGGCCGCCCAGCCCGCCCTGCAGGCCATGAGCCGCCCCCCCGTTTGCAGCCCCGGCAGCCTCGGCTCCAGCGTCACTTGTGGGCGACGGGGTCCACCGCGTCATGGGGGGCCTTGCCGAGGCGGTGCAGGACCGAGCCAAGTCCGACGCCGACTTCCAGAGGGCGATCCTGGCCAAGATCAGCCAGACCGACCGAGTGGCCGCAGCCGAGCGCCGAGGCACCGAGAATATGAACGGAGAGGGGCTACGGGCGGCGCGGCTCGCAGCGGAATGTCGGAGGGAGGAGGAGAAGGCTGCTGAGACAGGGGCCAAGAGCAGGAAGAGACAGGAGGAACATGAGGGGGAGTTAGGAGCGGAGCTCCAGCGGAACTTCGACATCCAGAGGGGGCGGTTCCAGGAAGACGGGCCCAGTTCAGAGCGCACAAAGAAGAAATGAGGAAACAGGCCATGAAGAGGAACCGGGAAGTGCGCGACGAACAGGGCCGCGCCGCCAACGACCTGCGCGCGCAGGCGCGAGCTGGAGAAGCCGAGGCGCGACGGGCGGAGATAGCGCTGCAGGCCAAGCGAGAAGTACTGCCATGCATGCCAGGGGCGCCGCCAGGAAGCTGGAGGACACGCGAGCGTAGCAGTGGGAACGGACAGAAGAGACCCGCGAGGCAATTGTCCACGACCAGAAGGAGCAGGGCGCCGCGCAGCAGCTATCAGTCCAGCAACACTTCGGGCGCGCCCTGCAGCGGCGACGTCGGGGGGGCCAACGGCGCGTGGACCTTCCAGCAGCGGCGTGAGAAGGAGATGAAGTACATGCTGGAACATAAAGAATACTATAGGCAAGAGGAGTGCCGAAAAATGGAATTGAGGGCCGAGGGCGCCGAAATCGAGGCCCGTGACTTGGGCGCCTCGCGCCGCGCCGCCCTGGAGGTCGAACTGCTGAAAGAGCTGGAGACAGCGATCGACGCAGAAGACGCCCGGCCGCAGGCCCCGTGGTCAACGACATCATCAGCAGGAGACCCGACTCCAGCAACCCCTCTCGTGCAGAAACCGAAGTCCAGGTGGCGCCACTGTGCCCGCCGCGTGTGCATGCCTCGCCCGCGCGAGACCCGTGTGGGCAGGGTGTCGAGCAGGCCCTCGCCGCGGAGGGGGCCGAGCAGTGTCAGTTGGCCATCGACGGGAACGCGGCGCGGCCCCCCGCAGACCGCCAGCTCCAAGAGCTCGAATGGGAGACCCTCCGCTGGGCGGGTCGCGGGCCGTCGCCGCATTCCTTCGACCCCTTCAACCCTTTCCCGTCGGGCACGGAGACCCTCGACGCGTTCGACGGCGACGAGATCCATATCGAGTTGGACAGGCAGGAACGCATGAGATCGGAAGAAAAGAAGATGGCGGAGGAAAGCGGCCAAGAAAGGATGGAGCGATGCCTCGAGGAGTGCGAGGGCGAGGGGGCGGCCGCCGTCGAGCAGATTGGGAATGCCGCGACGGATTACATGCCCGAGGAGGAGAGGGGGAAGTACAGCGAAGACAACGAGGACATGGTCATGCTCGGCCAGCTCGGTATGGAGCCGCCCTGCAGCCGCCAGATGAGGGGGGAAGAGGTGCCAGAGAACTTCTCGCCTACGCTATCGGCCGACGAAGACTACGACGCGGGAATCGGGACTTCATCGTGATATCCGACACCGATCCAGGCGGAGGGGCCAAGGAGAGGAGGATTCGGGATCCTCAAGAAGAGAGGCGGCAGTAGCAAGGGCAGCATAGCATCGCGGCGATCTGCGTCCTCCGCCAGAAGCACGAGCGGTAGGAGAAGGGTCCATATCGTCGACGACGGGGGCGGCTTCGCAGACGGAGGGGGCCGACGAGCAGTGCGCCTGGGAGAAGAAGACGGCGGCGGCAGCGGCGCCGCCGAGCAGCAAGACGAGGCGCGCCCCTAGGCGCAATAACCGAGGAGGGTAGAGGCCCCCCCCCCTCGACATGATGACCCAGGGCGCGCAGCAGCTTCCCGGGCTAGCGGGCTGGTGCCCCAGACAGAGACACCACGCCCAGCAGCGAACATGCACCAATGAGCTGAATCAGAGAGCCCACGAATGCACGACTGCGACCTAGAGCAGCGCCTCATAATTCAATCCCGTTTTGGAGGTGCTGTTCGATCGATGACCCTGGGCCACAAGTGCAACCAGGGCCAGCCAGCTGAGCGAAGGCCCGGCGACAACGTCAGGGAGCCACGTTCGGGGCCGTTGGC